ACCACGCTCAGCCAGCGAGCAAACCGGCCATCCATATATAGGATCCGAACCCGTGGCCTTGGTGTTATCAGCACCGCACTCTACCAAGTGAGCCACGGGCCGGCCTTAGTCATGTTATTTAAAATTTTTCTACTAGTAGAAAATTTTAAATAACATGACTAGTATTTAACTCGATATATCCAAAACATTATTTCAACACACCATCAAAATAAATTATTGAGAGATTTACATTCTTTTTTACATACTAAGTCTGTGAAATTTGATGTGTATTTTATGCTTACAAAACTTCTCAGTTTAGGGCCGGCCCAGTGGCGCACTGGAGAGTACGCCGCTTGGGAGCGCGGTGGCGCTCCCGCCAATTTTTTTTTTTTCATTTTTGTCTTTTTTTTTTTACTGACCAGTAACGGGATCGCAACCCTCAGTGTCGCGCCCGTACCAGGGACCAGCAACGAGATCGCAACCCTTGGTGTTGCGCCCGCACCGTGCTCAGCCAGTGAGTGGGAACCGGTCTCCACATGGGATCTGAACCCTCGGCGGGAGCGCCGCCGCACTCCCAAGCAGCGTACTCTCCAGTGCGCCACCGGGCCAGCCCTATAATGTGTAATTTAAAGTTGCGATCCGTTGCCGGTCACGAAAAAAGACAAAAAGGAAAAAAAAAAAGAAAAAAAAAACTTCTCAGTTTAGACAGGCTACATTTGAAATGTTCAACAGCCACATGTGGTTAGTGGCTACTATATTAGATAGCACAAGTATAGACCAAAGATTCAAGTCATCTCCACCTGGCCATGTTGCAGCCTTTCTAAGGACACTCAGGGGTGAGACAGCCACATTCTCTGTGAAAGCAGTCTGGTACACATCTAGTTTCCCAGGCTGTTTGTCCTGACCTCCAAAATTCAAGTCTGAATAACCTTATAATCTAATTGGAGATAAGATTTTACTTACTATAAGTTAGAATGAAAGTGTCTCAAAATGCTACAGGTATCCAAAATTTATTAAGCCTTGTAAAAATGTTTGTTGGAGACGCTGACATTTCCTCCTTAGAGCTGTTATTTCTTCTGGGATAGGACAAGAATGTTTGTTCCCTTCCGCATATCCCTGTTATTGTTCTTCTGTCTTGATAAACACCATCCGGGAAGAGCAGATTTTCTCTGGGCTGGAGCCAGGTTGGTGGAAGAACCTTTTGTCCTGGGCCCTCCCTCTGGTCCATAGATGGTCCTCCCGACCACTCACTGGGCTCACCAACCCCCATGTGGCCCCTATTGGTCAGCCAACACTTCCTGATTCCATACTTCATTCCAGACACTGCTGAACTGCTGCACGTGCTGTCTTTTTACTCTTCCTCATCACCCTCTGTGCTCATCATTAGCACCTGCAAAATCCAGAGAGGTGAAGAGGATCACTCAAAGTCATGTAGCTGTAACCCAGAGCCTTCTGACATCAGAGCCCAGGATCATAGTATTCCAGACTTTGGGGGTTATAGTGTTTTCTGCCCACGTAGGGAACGAGGGTTGGCCAGCAAGAAATTTTCATATCTGCATGCTGGCAGGATGCTTATGGTTGATTTCTAGAAACGAGTCAGATATTCAAGACATAAAAAGGAACTGGCTCCCCTTTCTGGATCAGGAGGTCCAGCCTCAGGAAACCTAGGAGGGCTGCTTGCTCTTTCTTTTCTCATTTCTGGCAAGTTAGAAGACCTGGGGCGCCGGGAGCCCTTTTGCTTTAAGCTGAAGCCCTTGTTTGGGAGAAGACCGGGAAGGCAGTGGAGGTACCCGCCTACCTGGGGAACTCGCGTCAGGTGCGGCTGGAGCAACTCGGGATGCGAGGTGGGCGGGGGCAGGCCGAAAGTTGGGGCAAGCAGGAAGTGAACCGAGGGCTGCCCCGGGAGGAAACAGACTAAGTCAGTTCTACTGCCGTCAGGCCCCAGCCACTCGGAGACATGGTGAGCGAACTGGGAGCTAGGAAAGGGCTGATTTAAAGAGGCGCCAGCAGGGGCTCGGGACTGGAGGTTGTCTGTGCCGGGAAGGCAGAGGTGATGGCAGTCAGAAGGCCCGGCCGGCACTGCCTGTGGCCTCTCTTTGACAACTTGGCTGCAGATAGCTCTGAGCCGTCTGGGCGGGGGTTCCTGCTCCTTCCCTTCTGCCTTCCTCCCCTGAGCTCTGTGCTGGCCTGGAGCAGCGCCTCGGTGGGGGTGGGGGTTCGAATTCCAGCAGAGTTGTTGCTCCAGCCTCCACCTCCTCCTCCTGAGCCCCTAAGCTGGGTGTTCTGACAGTCCCGGCAGCACCTCTGCTGTTCCCAGGTCAGATTCCAGGCGGCAGGAGCTCTCCCCCTCAGCCTTTCACTTCATCCCTACACAGAAACGCCCAGGATTTGTCTGTCCACTGAATTCAAGCAATCAGCCCTCCTCCATAAACATGAGGAAGAGAGTAGAGGGTTTGTAAAAGAACCAGAAGTTGGTTTTCTGCGATAATCTAGTTTTGCCCCACACCTCTGGCCTGTTTCTGGAGCCCCAGTGGGCAGGGAAGGAGGAGCTTAATGCTTTCCCCTCCCTGCTCAAAAAGCTTATCGAGAAGCCTCCGGGTGAGGCCTCTGTCAGGGAGAACCTATACTCATTTCCCCCAAGGCCCAGGCGGATGTTTTTATTGAATATCTGCTAAGTGGTGGGGAAAGAAGAAGTGTGTGGCTCAACGACTAGCGCCTCGTGGAAAGTGGTTGCCCGTTGCTGTGGACCACAGCAGTGGAACTATGGCTAAGCTGCCCAGGAGGCCCAGGAGCTGGAGCAGCACTCCAGCAACTGTACTGGAGAGGGAGATAGGTTAGGCTAGGTGAGGGTGTTCTTTTTTTTTTTTTAAAAGATGACCAGTAAGGGGATCTCAACCCTTGACTTGGTGTTGTCAGCACCATGCTCACCCAGTGAGCAAACCAGCCATCCCTATACGGGATCCGAACCCGTGGCCTTGGTGTTATCAGCACCACACCCTCCCGAGTGAGCCACAGGCTGGCCCCTAGGTGAGGGTGTTCTTTTTTTTTTTTTAAAAGATGACCAGTAAGGGGATCTCGACCCTTGACTTGGGGTTGTCAGCACCATGCTCACCCAGTGAGCAAACCAGCCATCCCTATACGGGATCCGAACCCGTGGCCTTGGTGTTATCAGCACCACACCCTCCCGAGTGAGCCACAGGCTGGCCCCTAGGTGAGGGTGTTCTGCTGGCTAGCACAGACACTTTTAATGAGGACCCAGTGGGATCAAGGAAGGGGGATGGCTCTGGGACCTGGTAAATAGCCATCAGCTCTGCACTGGAGGGGAAAATTGTGAGATGGTGGCTCCGCCACCTACTATGACCCTCGCTGAGGAGCAAGGAGGCAGTGGAGAGGGATTTAGTGGTGTGCTGCTTTTTCTTGTCAGGGGCCTGAGAACCCAAAAAGAAGTATGATCTAGTCTGTCTAGCATCAGATCTCACCTTCCAGGGCTTAAAAATGCATTTATTTTTGATTACGTGAGTAATACATGAAAACATTCTCTTTGTAAACAATTCAAGCATTACAAAAAGCTGAAGATCTTACCCTCCCTGGCCTCTGAGCCAATCTAGTCCTCCAGCACTTGGTCTAATTAACCCCTGTGTTGCCGCCCAGGAGGAGGCCAGTGGAGGAGGAGAAAATGATCGCGTGCGGAATCTGCAGAGTGAGGTGGAGGGAGTCAAGAATATCATGACCCAGAATGTGGAGCGGATCCTGGCTCGAGGAGAAAATTTGGACCACCTCCGCAACAAGACAGAGGATCTGGAAGCCACAGTGAGCCACTTGAGGGCTGGAGGAACAGAGGGAGGGAGGATGGCTGGGGGGAAGGGAAGTCTTTTTTTGGTGAGGCAAAATGAAGTGTAAAAATGGAAGTCTGCCTAATTTATTGTCTTTCACCTGTTTGGGGAATTTATGTGAGCTGAGTCCCCACTTCTAATTCTGCTCTGCTCTGCTGACTGGTATGGAGTTCAGGGAATGCAGTCTAGTGACTGCAGCTTGGGGTGGGGGGCTGGCCATGCAGGCATTTTCTGAGGCAGATAGACAGCTCAGTTAGCCCACACATTCTTAGGCTTCTCTCTATGAGAGAAGATCTTACTTTTGACAATCATTTAGACCTGACCTCCACAGAGCAAAAATATTGGCTTTGGGGAAATCCTCCTAGGGCCTTTGGCCTTCTCTAGGAGTTATTAGGCAAGGGGTGGAAAACTGCTAGAGTCTCCTTGAGTCAGCTTTAAAAAGAAGCTGGGAAGAGCAGTGAAATTCTTTAATCCTGGGAGCCTCAGCCAGTTGAAGTTTAGAAAAATATCTCCCACACATCTTGCTAGACCTTATTCTCTCCCTCCAGCCAAGAGCCAAGACCAGCTGCTCAGGGAGGGGGCAACTCCAAAGTTCAGCAAAGGTGGAGCCTCAGATTCTGTATCCAGTGGGGAGAGACTGGCTCAGGTTTTCTGAGTCCTGTGTGTGATCTTGGGTGTTGCTCCTTTGTCTCCCTGGGACTTAGTGCCTCTTTCTGCAGCCTAATCTGGAGATCGTGGTCCAGGGAAACTTAGTGTATGCAACTGGAGTTGGGAGGAGGAGTTTCCCTCACTTCCAACCCCCTGTGCTGCCCTGGTCCCTCCTCCAGCTTCAGCTATCCCTGTGGAACAAGGAGTCATGGAACTGGGAGATGTGCCCACCTGGAGTCTGTTCCCTTCAGCCTCACGGTCTGTCCTCCCAAGGGTGGATTGTGCTGTCAGTGTCACACCCCTGGGTGTGAGCCTGTGTAAAAGACTCCTCAGTGTGCATAACAGTGCTGGGGTGAGGAGAGAGAGGGGACCCCCAGCCCCCTGCCACATTCAAATGGAGAACTCCCAGGACCCCAAGATTTCTAGATTTGAACCTAGCCCTCCAGATTGTTACGAAAGCATATTCGTCAAGATAGGAGGATAGAGCATCTTTTTTTAAAAATATGACCGGTAAGAGGATCTTAACCCTTAACTTGGTGTTGTCAGCACTGCGCTCTCCCAAGTGAGCTAACCGGCCATCCCTATATAGGGATCCGAACCCGTGGCCTTGGTGTTACCAGCACCACACTCTCCCAAGTGTGCCATGAGCCGGCCCTAGGATAGAGCATCTTTTTTTAAAAATATGACCGGTAAGAGGATCTTAACCCTTAACTTGGTGTTGTCAGCACTGCGCTCTCCCAAGTGAGCTAACCGGCCATCCCTATATAGGGATCCGAACCCATGGCCTTGGTGTTACCAGCACCACACTCTCCCAAGTGTGCCATGAGCCGGCCCTAGGATAGAGCATCTTTTATCTAACAGTTTGTTAGCTCAACTTATAATGTAAGTATTTAGATGTATGGCCCATGGGCCTCTGTACTTGTGTTCCAGTGGGAGGAGCCACTGGCCCACTCACTCTACCTTATCCCCAACAGTCAGAGCACTTCAAGACAACATCACAGAAGGTGGCTCGGAAGTTCTGGTGGAAGAACGTGAAGATGATTGTCCTCATCTGTGTGATTGTTTTTATCATCATCCTCTTCATCATCCTCT